CCCCATTTATTGTAAAGCCGCCTTCCAGGCCTGAAGAAAAGGTTGGGCCCAGAGAGCATGGGACGCCCTTGGGAAACCCTTGAGGCCTTCGACAGCTTTCCACGGTTTTCCACCACCTCCTACTGCTTAACGTGATATTTCTTAACACCCAACCAATGGCAAAAACTCCCGATCCAGCCGAGCAATTCCACGGACTCCTCGCTACATCGTGTTCATGCTTGCTCCCATTCCTTTGCTCGCACCACGCCTGCCACCCCTCTTCTTAAGCAATTCACAGCCCATGCTTTCCTAAAAGGTGGCTCTGGACACCTTCCCTTGCTCCATCGCCCTGATTCTTGGCACTTGCTGCATCTCCATGGTGAGGCTTATCTGTGTTCTGCCTGATGCCTGTTTCTGCATCCAGCCAAAATCTACTTAATAGACTCTGGCGAGTGCCTTACTGATCCGTCAGAGTGTGGCTCCACGTTTTTGCTATTCTGGCTCACCTTTATGAAGGAAGGTTGTTCGGTTTGGTTTTGTATCTCTACAAAGAACATCTTGAAGGAGCTTAATAAATGCCTACTGACTGCCAGGATACTAAGATTCTCATACCCCCCTTTTTTTTTCTTGTTTGGAAAAATTCCATTTGTGCCCGGTTTCCAGGGCTGCTGTTAGGCAAGGGGAGAAGACCTGAGGTGTAGAGGAAAGAGATGGGTCTGAGTCCCCAGTTTCATGTCTCACCATGGTCACTAACTGTGGGCGATCAAGACCACGATCTTCAGATTCATGCATAAATTACTGGAATTGTTCTAAATTTATCCTAAAGTCCTTAGATTTAGTAAAATCAAAACTAAAGTCTAGATTTCATAAAATCAATATAATACACATACTATATATATCAATACAGTACACCTTTTGGGCCCAAAGCATAAAAAGCTTCCAAATTACCCTGATATTTTAAGGCTCATAATTATTTTATTGGACACATTATCACCTTCAAAATATATGCAATATCTTTCTACAAAATATCAATAAGATATAGCACTTACATTCCTCATATTTTAGGACATCCGTGTTGATTTTTAGTTACATATTTACAAGGCTGCTGTTCAGCTGGTACAGGTACAGCTGAACTGATTTATCAAATATTGAAATGTCCCATACAAGTTAGTCAACAGTTGCCCATGGTTTCCATCCCTGTCCCGGCCCTTTCTCTCAGGGCTCCCCAGACCTCCCACATTACAGGAAACCTGTAAGACCCGCCTCTTATCAAAGACCTTCATTCTAATTGGCTGTTGCCTAGGCTTTAGTAATTGTTATATATTTTAAATATTATCCCTGCATAAAACTATAGGGTAAGCTCCTCAAAAATAGACCATCGTCTCCTTCCACTTTATACACTCACCCAAACATTCATATATGATCATGTGTGTTCATGCTGATTAGGGAAAGGCTAGAACAGAATTACTAGACAGGGTAAATGATTGAGCTGCAAACCAGTACAGTTATATGACTTTTGGGAATGAATTTCAGAAGATGAGTTGAAGGCTTACTCAAAAATCACCTGCTGAGTTAAACCAGAGTGCAGCAAAAATATCCCTGCAATGTATGTTTTATTTTTATCAGGTTTATCTAGAAGACGTGTTGGGGTATGGAATTTTTAATATGTTAGAATCATAGAACTTCTGAAAGGGTCAGACATGAAGCCCATCTGAACCGTGAAAACAGTAACAGATAATCTGCAGTTCCAGGGGGAAAGAGAGTATTAGATTATCTGTAAATGGCTTACCTGTTACTCGTCCTGCTTATTCACACTGCTATAGTCACAGTTTTATTTCACATGTCTAAAATTCTAAGCATGACCAATCTACCTTTTTGAGGCGTGATGTAATAAATCCAATGGCCTTTTTTATTTCTCAGGATTAGAAAAGAACCTGCTACAGTAAGTAAAGGAAATAAGAACTAAGCTTCATACCTCAATCTTTAGTTGTAGCTAAAGGAAGTCCATGTCATAACTTGTTTTTTTACCTCTAGTAAAGGAGAAAATTGTCATCATTCACAACAAAGTTAAGAACCTTTAATTAAATTTATAAAGAACATGACTGATTCTAAGAAATCAGATCTTTCAAAGTCAATTATTCTTTCCATAAATCAAGCTTAGTAGTAACCAAAGATAAAGAAACCTCCTTAGCTTCATGTTCAATTTAAACTGATCTTTACATGACCAAAAAAGTTTGGTTCAGACAAGGTTATAATTAGAGGCAAAAGTAACAAGGAGGACTAAATTATATTGATATATAGCCCTAAGGTGGGGGGTACTAATCACCAGAAATAGGTGTTAAAAGATTTAGCCCTCACCAGGTAGCTCATTTGGTTAGAGCATCGTTCTGATATGCCAAGGTTGTAAGTTTGATCCCCAGTCAGGGCACATACAAGAATCAACCAATGCATTCATAAATAAGTGGAACAACAAATTGATCTCTCTCTTCCTCCCTCTCTCTCTAAATATCAACATATATGTTTTTTAAAAGTCTTGCCATTCCTAAAATAAGATAAATAGGCCTTGAGAGCTTGAGCTTGTATGGAAGTTCTAAACAAAGGAGTCATTTCAAAAAAGCAGGACTCATATAACTGACAAGGCCATTCTCTTCCACAGAGCCCACCACTTTGAGGAGGGTACACAATGTCAGGGGGAGATGAGCTCATCCCACCCTGGTGAGAGACAAATTTCACTGATGTGCCTGTCAAGTGAGACTATTCTGAGTTGGTAGGTTTAAGCAACAAAATGAGTTGCAGGCTATCTGGGTTTCGGGCTATTTGCAGAAACAAAATTAGATTGGAGAAATGAAACAATTAAAACAATTCAAGCAACTCCCCACCCATGGCAGAAAAATTAACTTCTATGTGATTTGCTTAAATGGTGCTAACATCAGACTAGCCAAATCCCTTAGTTTCAATTAATCATAATACAAACGAAAGGCCTAGATCATTAGACATTCCTACTGGAAGAAAGACAATCATGGAGAGGCTTAAAATCTCGGATTCACCATGGCAAATCCTTTTAAAAGTAGAAATGAGACCTAGCCTAGGAGAAAGAGGAAGACCCACTCAGAAGAATGAAAAGAAGCGCGAAGCTCAGAGTTACAGGAAGGGTCACAGGCAGACCACGTGGTTGACCCCATGGTGGTGCCAGGAGCATGTTTCACCCAAACCTACTACACTGTGCTCACCAACCCCTGGAAATCCACATTTAGAACTTTATTCCTAGGCCTTGAAACCAAAGGGATTTGGATCCCGAGGGAAGATACTATCATTTTGTTATTTATTTATACTGCTGTGAGAGTATTTTTTTCAGGGTTTTTTTCTGAAGAGGAAGTTTAAAGGCATGAGAAAACATGATTGTCTAGATTTCTAACAGTAGTGCGGTACAAAGGGACAGAAGGAAAACTAGACAAATAGCTAACTTTTCAGTCTGGTTTCCAGCCAACCTGTTCACTCAGGGAACACTAAAATGAAGGAGATCAGTAGGCTCGGAAGCAGCCATTTGTACCAATTGCGGGGCTAGATGCCCACAGGTAGAGCCTTTTGCTATTTCTTGATACTCAGGGGGCATA